AGAACTGGGGTGACATCACGTGACACCCCTGCTATTCCCACCCAGGGGCGGACTGACAACTCATGGGGCCCCCGGGCAATAGGGGATCATGGGGCCCCTGTGTCCTTGCCCAAACTCAAAAAAGCCTATGAAAAAGGTACCAGGGGCATCTCATGGGGCCCCCTACTGACCCTTGGCCCTCGGGCAGTGCCCGAGTTTCCAAATGGTCAATCCCCCCCTGCTGATCCCAATGATGGCAGGCTCAGTGGATTGCTGCAAAAAAGTCCTGGATTCTTTCTTAGATACACAGAATATAACTGGATATAACATTTATAGGTAAAGTTGATCCAGGGAATATCCGATTGCCTCTCGGGGGATCAAGAAGGATTTTTTTTCCCCTGCAGGAGCAAATTGGATCGTGCTTTGCTGGGTTTTTTTTTTTTGCCTTCCTCTGGATTAACTGTGGGTGTAGGATTATAACTTTTTTTTTTTCCTATGGTTGAACTGGATGGACTTTTGTCTTTTTTCAGCCAGACTAACTATGTAACTATGTAACAATGATGCAAGGCAGAAGTGCTAGCCGCTGTGCTTAGTGTCTAGCACGTCTACCTTGCAGGAGTGTTAAATGATTTAAACTTCCTCAAATACACCAAAAAACGCATTTACAAAAAAGGAAAACAAAGGGCCTTTTTTTTTTATTTGTAAGTAAATTCTACCTAAATTGCTCAACCTGGGCAGCACAGTGACTAAATGGTTAGCACTTCCACCTCGCAGTACTAGGGTTGTTGGTTCAAATCCTAAACCACGGCACCTCCTGCCTGGAGTTTGCATGTTCTCCCTGTGACTGCATGGGTTTCCTCCGGGTACTCCCGGTTTCCTCCCACACTCCAAAGACATGCTGGTAGGTGAATTGGCTCCTGTCTAAATTGTCCCTAGTATGTGTATGTATGAATGTGAGTTAGGGACCTTAGATTGTGCACCCCTTGAGGGTTAGGGACTGATGTGAATGTTACAATATATATGTATGTAAAGCGCTGCATAAATTGACGGCGCTATATAAGTACCTGGAATAATAAATAAACCTGTTCCTGTTTTGGAGAAATTCTACCGACCGCAAAAACAATTTCCTGGAAATCATATATATTTATATTTCTTACTCTGCACAAAACAGTGACGATGTACAAAGTGTAGTAGTGGTTACCAGCCAATTACATTTCATTTTACCATTCGCTCAGCAAAAAATGAATTTCTACTGGAATTCCTGTATGCAGAGTAAGGAAGTACATTAAACCCCAAGCTATTCATATATCTCATTCCATCACACATCCCGAACATAAGATGATTATTCCGCCTTTCGGGACAGTTGGACCAAGCCATGCAGACCTTTGCTTTATGCGCCAATTATTGCTGTTCAGCTGTTTCAGACTTTTTGCCCATCATCAGTGCAGTATATGGAAACAATGGCTTCTATGGGCTTGCGACCTCAATGCAGCAGTATAGGAATAATCGTATTTTTGGGTAATGGGGCAGCACAGTGGCTAAATGGTTAGCACTTCCGCTTGGCAGTACTTGGGTCGTTGGTTCAAATCCCAACCACGTCACCACCTGCCTGGAGTTTACATGTTCTCCCTGTGCCTGCGTGGGTTTCCTCTGGGTACTCCGGTTTCCTCCCACACTCCAAAGACATGCTGGTAGGTTAATTGGATCCTTTCTAAATTGGCCCTTGTATATGAATGAGAGGGACCTTAGATTGTACGCCCCTTGAGGGTTAGGGACTGATGTGAATGTACAATATATATGTAAAGTGCTGCGTAAACTGACGGCGCTATATAAGTACCTGAAATAAATAAATAAATAAATAATGTGATGGAAGGAGATTTGTGAACACGTGGCTTTACTAAATGGGACTCTTCTGCTTTCCAGTACCGGCACAACCTCGGTGTGTATATTCCGTCTCCAGTGTGCCACCTGCTGTTCTACATCACATACTGCAAGGCTCATGTAAGACGACAAATCGGAGAAGCGATGCTTAAATTAGCCTCTATTTATGAAGCACAACGTAGTTGAGATATATTAGGCAAAAGATGCAATTAGTGGCTGTGACCGTGCTACTAAGACCTCATGCACACAGGCGTAACGACCCGGTTTTGCCCAAACCGGATGCACAGGTGTTGCAGGTAGTCCTTTCATGTCTATTGAGCTGCACGGGCAACTGTCCCAATTTGACATCTGAGTGGACGCCTATCACTGTCTGCATTCAAGGACACACATCCACATGGCCGTCAAATTGGGACCCGGGGCTCTGCCCCATGCAGCTGCTGCATCCTAATAGACGTGAATGGGACTGCACCGGAACACCTATGCACAGTGCTGGAACAAAGTCATCTAAAGCCCAGGGCAAACATGCCAACCTTTGCCCCCCCAAGATGTATGAGCATTATGTGTTAGCAAATCCCCCCCCCAAAAAAAAAAAATTTTAGTTGCAAATTGAGTACAAATCTGCATGCTTACCCTCTAAGCATCATTTTTACCCCCTCCTTGTACTACATTGCCCCCTACTGCTGAAATCCCCCCTCCCATCACAAATCTTTGCCTCCCCTTCCTCCCCTCCGAGCTCAAATCCCCTCTCTCCCCAAATCCCCCTAGCACAAATCCGTCCCTGAGTGCAGCATGCTGTTTCTACATTCAAATAGCTGCAAAGGCTGAATCCCCCCAAAAAATCATCGCCTCCTAGCACAAATCCTCTACTTCTCTTCCAAGCACAAATCCTATCCTCATCTGAATATACACCCTCCCAGCACAAATCCCACCCCCCTGTAATCCCCGGGGCTTCATAGTACAAATCCTTCACACCATTGTACCCTTCTAGCACCCCCCCCCCCCCCCAAGTATCATCTCTACTTAGCAAATCCCCCCCCCCCCACACTAAAAAAAAAATTCCCCTCCCTCTAAGCACAAATCCCCCCCCCCTAAAAATCCCCCCTCCCCATCTTTGCCTCCCCTTCCTAGCACAAATCCTCTAAATCCCCCCTCACAAATCAAAAAATTCGCCTTCCAAATCACCTAAATCCTATCATCTCAAAATACACCCTCCAGCACAAATCCCAATCCCCCCATTTCATAGTACGAATCCTTCACACCATTTACCCTTCTAGCACCCCCCCCCGATCATCTCTATTAGCACAATCCCCCCCCCCCCACACTAAAAAAAAAATTCCCCTCCTCGCACAAATCCCCCCAAAAAATCATTGCCTCCTAGCACAAATCCTCTACCTCTCAAAGTTCCCTTCCAAACACAAATCCTATCATCTCAAAATACACCCTCCCAGCACAAATCCCAATCCCCCCATTCATAGTACGAATCCTTCACACCATTTACCCTTCTAGCACCCCCCCAGATCATCTCTATTAGCACAATTCCCCCCCCCCACACAAAAAAAAAAATTCCCGTCCTCGCACAAATCCCCCCCAAAAAAATTTCCCCTCCTAGCACAAATCCCCTCCCCTCTCTACTATATCACCTCTTCTAGCACAAACCCCCCAAATACTCCCTCCTAGCACAAATCCTCCCCCTCCCCTCCCAACACAAATCTCCCCATATCACCACTTCTAGCACCCCCCACCCCTTAAATTTCCCCTCCTAGAAACATTCTTACCTCTGTCACCCTTCCAATTCCCCCTCCCAATACTAATCTCCTCTCCCCCAATCTTCTTACGGTGCACCCCCATCTCATATGATTCTACAGCGCCAAGGGCAGCCTCCCCTCCTGCCCACCCCTTGTCCCAGCCATGGCATCTTGCACGGGCAAAGACGGCCCTTCACACTGGTGTATGGATAGCTGCACCTATGTGAATGAGGGCTTAATATATTTTTTTTAAATTTTCCCTACTGTTTATTTTGATTAAAAAGTCCTTATGTGTAAACCTGGCAGCTTTCTACCTAATACAGAATAATTTTGATGGCTGTGAGTGCGCCAGATGCTGTGTGTCACCCTATTTTTAAAAAAAAATGTTAACGCCAATTGAAAATTTAGCTTTTATCATCTAAATACATTTCTTGTGTATCAACATAAAAGGTGTCCAAAGTCTCTCTGCAAAGGTACGCTCCCAGATGAGTCCGACCTCAGCATAGAGACAACTGCTTCCACACAGAGAGCAAGGGTCCTTTTCTGTAGTATGCTGCCCGAGGACAGGCTTCTCTACTCTAAAGTTGTGGCTGCTTTCCTAGGAAAATGAACTGTAAGACTTTTAGCACCTTTTGTTTTGATGCACCATAGTTGATTTAAACTGATGGTAACTGGGGCATTAAAAAAAATTCAAATCTTACCTGCTTCATTCCAATCTCATTGTATGGCTCACTCAGCTTTTCCTTCTCAAGACCCTGGAAAAATGCCAACACAAAACCATTCAGTACAGTTATCCAGACACCGACTGGTTCGGCACATACATAGATTTAGATTCTGTTTCTTTCATTCTCTTTCTAAGGACACTGTAACAAAATTTAGTAGGTATTGATGATTTCTTTGTCGTAGACAGCTTTTTGTGTCATAACTGGAATTTTGTAAGACAATTAATCGGTCCTTGTGGTGTATAACTGATGAATGATAATTAGGTTTTCTTAATAATGGATAGCAGAGGATTTAGAGTTGGACAGAACTGCCTTGAATTTAATGGCTAGCCTTTAAAGGTTTTTAGCCCAGAGGAATCCTTGAAATAATTTTAGGTCTCAGGAAACCACTTTTATTTGTGGACAATTTCACAACTCATTGGTGGACACTGAGAAGAATTCCCCTTATATTGGTGGTCACCGGGAAGAATTCTCCTTTCATTGATGGTGGGAAAAAAAAACATCTTACATTGGTGGTCAGTGGGAAGAAGGACCATTACATTGATGGTCACTGGGAAGAATACTCCTTACATTGAAGGTCAGTAGGAAGAAGGGCCATTACATTGATGGTTACTGGGAATATTACCTTTAACAATGGTGGCCAGTGGGAATAAGGACCTTTAAATTGATGGTCAATGGGAAGAATGTTCCTTACATTGGTGGTCACTTGGAAGAATACTCTTTACATTGATGATTAGTGGGAAGATTGCTCCTTACATTGGTGATCAGTGGGAAGAATGCTCCTTATATTGGTGATAAGTGGGAAGAATGCTCATTACATTGAAGGTCAGTGGGAAGAACGTTTTTTACATTGGTGATCAGTGAGAAGAATGCTCCTTACATTGGAGATCAGTGGGAATAATGCTCCTTACTTTGGTGATCAGTGAGAAGAATGCTCCTTACATTGGGGATCAGTGGGAAGAATGCTCCTTACATTGGTGGTCAGTGGGAATAATGCTCCTTACTTGGTGATCAGTGGAAAGAACGCTCCTTACATTGGGGTCAGTGGAAAGAATGCTCCTTATATTGAAGGTCAGTGGGAAGAACGCTCCTTACATTGAAGGATCAGTGGAAAGAACGCTCCTTACATTGAAGGTCAGTGGGAAGAACGCTCCTTACATTGAAGGTCAGTGGGAAGAACATTCCTTACATTGGTGATCACTTGGAAGAATGCTCCTTACATTGGTGATCAGTGGCAAAAAGGACACTTACATGGATAATCACTGGGAAGAATGCTCCTTAAATTTGAGGTCAGTGGGAATAATGCACCTTACATTGGTGATCAGTGGGAAGAATGCTCCTTATATTGGTGGTCAGTGGGAAGAATGCTCCTTATATTGGTGATCAGTGGGAAGAATGTTCCTTACATTAGTGATCAGTGGGAAGAACGCTCCTTACATTGAAGGTCAGTGGGAAGAACGCTCCTTACATTGAAGGTCAGTGGGAAGAACGTTCCTTACATTGAAGGTCAGTGGGAAGAACATTCCTTACATTGGTGATCACTTGGAAGAATGCTCCTTACATTGGTGATCAGTGGCAAAAAAGGACACTTACATGGTTAATCACTGGGAAGAATGCTCCTTAATTGGAGGTCAGTGGGAAGAATTTACCCCTTACAGTGTTGATCTGAATGCTAACCTTACAGATAGCTAAAAGGATCACTCTGCCAAGTGGCCTGAGCACTGGAACTATGAAGAAAACATCAAATAGGAGGTCAAACAGCCTCAGCTCAAGGAACCCCTAGAAACCTCTGGAGGACCCTTCGTTGAGAATGGCTGTGCAGGCCACAAAACTTCACAGGATTCTTCAAATCTAAATACAAGCAAATACAAGAACAGAAATGTTTGGCTAGCCTGTCACATTACATATTGCCAAACCAATATTCACTGTTCAATTAACTAGCAGTGACATCAATAACACATGGGTTTCCAACAATTATTACACAGAGTAACCACTGTATGTAACAGAGTTATGCAAAGATGGCTCCCTGCCCACCATGACCGTCACTGACCTGCACCATGGTCTGTGAAGATAACACTTACCTGGTAGACAGAATTATCTGGAGACCTGTGCTTCTGTGGAAGAGAAGAGAGATAGTTACACACGTGTTCACCTCAATGTTTGCAAAATTTTATTCTGAACTACATGCCTATAGTCAATTAAGCCAGTTGCATGATCAAATGCCTAAGCAGCTGGTAATGTAACCTCTACTGAACTTGAGAATGAGACACACTGATCTGTGAAGCTCAGGGATCTTGTGACCCAATGCCCAGAGAGCTTGCTGGGCAATTGCCAAGCTATGGTTTCCACAACAAAGGTTGGCTTTTCATGGTTTCTATTGACTTCAGAGAGCGCTATAAGAAATACTGGATTCTAGATAAGTCGCCTCCAGACCCTTTGTTTCTTAGCGGATAAATGAGAGCATCATTCAGGCTGAATGACAAGAGGGTATACTGAAACCAAATGCCCATCGGAAAGCCCCACTAAATCTGGCTGTATGAGATCATGGAAAACTCAAATCAAAACAGAACTGAGGCAAACTGAGAAGATTCCTAATTTAAGGAGTGGCTCAAGAAGAAGCACATTAAGGTCCTGGAGTGGCCTAGCCAGTCTCCAGACTGTAATCTGATTGAAAATCTGTGGAGGGAGCTGAAATTTCGAGTTGCCAAATGTCAGCCACCAAAACCTTAATGACTTGGAGAGGATCTGCCAAGAGGAGTGGGCCAAAAAACTCCCTCCTGAGATGTGTGCAAAAGAATGGTGGCCAACTACAGGAAACGTCAGACTGACCTCTGCGAAAATTGCCAACAAGGGATTTGCCACCAAGTACTAAAATCATGTTTTGTGAAGGGGATCAGATACTTATTTCCCTCATGAACATGCAAATCAGTGCATCATTTGTTAGACAAGCATTTCTTTTGAATTTGTTGTTGCTATTCTGTCTCTCAGTGTTACAATACATCGAACATTCGATTTTTAGACCGATCATTTCTTTGTGAGTGGGCAAACAATCAAAATCAGCAGGGGATCAAATACTTATTTCCTTCACTGTACTTCTGACCTTTGCACTTTGTGTTACTTATTCCAGATCCCTGCAATTTGTGCATTACTTACTTCTGACCCCTGCACTCATTGTGTTAAGCCTGACCCCTGCACTCATTGTGTCAAGCCTGACCCCTGCACTCATTGTGTCAAGCCTGACCCCTGCACTCATTGTGTCAAGCCTGACCCCTGCACTCATTGTGTTAAGCCCTAAGCCTGACCCCCCTGCACTCTAAGGGTTACCTGCTTCTGACCCTGCACTCTGAGAGTTATTGACCCCTATTTGAGAGTAACCTCTGCACTCTGTGTGTTACTTACTCTACAAGTGCTTACGGTATATTAGGATAGCACAGTGGCTTAGTGGTTAGGACTTCTGCCTGGCAACACCAGTTGGTTCGAATCTGCATTGAGTTTGCATGTTCTCCCTGTGCCTGTGTGGGTTTTCTCCAGGTACTCCAGTTTCCTCCCACACATGCTGGTAGAGTAATTGGCTCCTGTCTAAATTGGCCATAATATGTGTATGTATGAATGTAATTTAGGGACCTAAGATTGTAAGCTCCTTTGGGGCAGGGACTTATACGAATGTACAACAGATGTGAAGCACTGTGTAAAGTGTGCTATATAATGTAATGCAATATAAAGAAACAAAAACAAATGTTTATCACCTTGAATAAGGGCAAGGACCCAAAGTGGACATTTTTGCACTTTTTTGCCCTTTAATTTGATGCACTTTATAATGGAACCTCAATACATTTGGACTATTTGAGGTTCATCTTTTTGTTGGTTCATCTTTTTTTTTGAGGTGCATAACTTTTTGTTGGTGTGTTGGCTCTTTTCTCGTATGAAGAAAAAAAACCTGACACGGGTTTCAATCCTTCTTTACTCCAAAATTTCTCCAAAATCTAAAACACGCATTTTGACTTTAGATATACTTTAACCGCTTCCACACCGCCCTAGAGCAGAAATGCTGCTACAGGGCAGCACGGGTGCGCAAAATCACGTACTGTATATATAGGCGATTTTGCATTTAAGGGTAGGGAGCGCGCACGCGCCACAGCTGTCAATCTTCGGGTACCGGCCCGGTGATTATTTTTCGCCGGCGCCCGGTGATTTCTGACAATCTCTGACGGGGAGGTGAACTGTTTTGTTTCCTAACAATTCTCCTCCGTCAACTTGTGCACACTGCTTTGGATGGCTGTGCACAGTACAGCCATCCAAAGCAGTGTGCTTACAGTGAAACACACAGACACCTCCCCCTAGTAAAAAACTTCCAGCACACAGTTAACCCTTTGATCGCCCCACAGTTAACCCCTTCTTTCCCAGTGCCATTAGTAGTGTCAGTGCTTTTTATTAGCACCGATCACTGTATTAGTGTCACTGGAGATGTCAGTGACACCAAGTCAGTTCTCCCCCAGTGTAAGACTGCCTGCCCCGTTCCCGCAATAAGTCGCTGTTTGCTGCCATTACTAGTAAAAATTTAAAAAAATTAAAACAACAGATCCCAGTATCTATACCACCAATTGTAGACGCTATAACTTTCAAATAAACCAATTAATTTACACATATTGGGATTTTTTTTTTTTTAACAAAGACATTTTGGCCTAAATTTATGATGAAATTAGATTTTTTTAAATTTTTTTACTGGACGTTTTTAATAGCAAAAAGCAAAAAAAATGTTTTTCTTTCTCAAAACTGGCGGTCTTTTTTTTTTTTATAGCGCAAAAAATAAAAAATGCACAGGCGATCAAATACCACCGAAAGAAAGCTGTATTCGTGGGGAAATAAAGGATGTAAATTTCATTCGGGTGCAGTGATGCATGACCGCGCAATTGTCAGTTAACCTCCCTAGCGGTCTGATTATGTCAGTATTTCTGTGCTCAAAGCGGTACATTTTTTGGCATGGAAATATGTAGTTTTTTTATTGTAGGCCTGTAATTTTTAGGAATAACTCACTGAAATCTGTCCGAACAAGAGTCTTGTAAACATTCCGGGTAGGATAAAACTTGAAGCACAAAATCATAAATTATAATTTAATAAATAATCATAAAAAATAATATAATAATAAATGTAATTCAATAATATAATCAAACCAAAAACACTGAAATTTGAAATATAGCGCCAAGTTCGCACATCACTGAGCAAAGTCGCAGAATCGTTTTCAGTGTCTGATGAGGAATTTCCCCCACAAATCATTATCACTCAATTCTGCAAGTGGTTCTGATTTACTATCGCTGTTCTCTAGCCGGTCTAAAACCGCTTTTGACCTAAAGGGACGCTTTTTGGACGCCATGGACGTTTCTCAGTTTCCAGGCAGAAAGAACAGTAAAAATGCAGGCAGGGCGCCGGACAAAGCACTCGGGACAAAATGTATGTGAAATGCTTTGATACAGGAATGTTATACTATGTGATTTTAGTGTATTTAGTGAATGTCACTTTTTTACATTTTTTAATTTCCCGCCGTTCTGTCCCCATACGTCCCGACGTCGCAAGGGACGGAACCCAGAAGATGGATGCCGGCATCGGCCGGAGGACATTGCCGGGGACACTGCAGGGGGGACATCGCGGGAGCGCAGGGACAAGGTAAGTGAAGAACAGATCCCGGAGCAACGCTGCAGTGTATTCCCGAGTGTAGCTCGGGGTTACCGCTTGTGGTGCTGAAACTTTACCCCGAGCTACACTCAGGAATACCGCCAGGGGGGTTAAAGTAACGCAGCGCCGTAACGAACAAAATGGCCTGGTCAGGAAGGGGGGTAAATCCTCTGGAGGCCAAGTGGCTAAAGGCAAATAGACTGCGCACTTTGCTCCAGAGCTTAGTAAATGAAGTAAAACTTCATTTTGCAAAGAATACCCAATCAGATGCAAGAAAAAAAAATCAAACAGAATTTTTGCTTGCACATTATTGGACGATGATGGTCTAGTCAGAAAGGGGGGGGGGTGGTAAATCCTTTGGAGGGCGAGTGGTTAAGTAAACTTGTATTCTGAATATTTGCAGTTATTGCTGCCTCTAGCTGATCTATAAACGGCACCAGAAGAAGGTATGAAACTCTACGCCGGCATATTTGTATTTCGGACCCGTCGCGGGCCCCGGCTGTCGGGAATAATGTGTGAAATAGCTGCCAATTCATGACGCATTTTCCGCAAAGCACAAAGAGATGCCTAGTTGCTCTTCAAAGCGCTCGGAGGCTTTTTTGTTGTTTGTTTTCCTCTGTGGCCGCGGCCGTGTGATGTGCCGTAGCCAGAACGCCGGGCTGTACCTTGGGCTCCCGTAGGCAGAGGTGGGAGCGACAGACATCACAAGAGCAGAGCTGGTGCATGGTGGAAGCTGATAGCAATCTCCCCCGGGGTTACTGCTGCTCCCTCGCCGTCCTACTCACTATCTTTTCATCTGGATGCAGCAAATGCCGGCCAATTAAACTCATCTCTCCGGTCGCATGTACAACCTCTGCACAATGGCACA